AACAATTCCCCTCAAGGACCAACACCATTTCGTGGCATTCTCCCGATGTTCTCAATTTGTGAATTTAAGTGCAATGATTAATGATGTTCACAAAATCCGCCTCCGCAACCGCACTGTCATTCTGCTTTCTTCAGATTGGATAAGGAAATTAAGCGAATGGATCTGCTTGCGAATGAATAGAACGTCAAACAAATCAGTCAGTGAATTAATGTCTTGACTTCCATGTCCCAGCTGACAGTTGTAATTTTGAAGCCATGGATTATGTCATCTATCTAGGAAGCAGCTTCAACTACAACAACATTAATGCAGTGTATTAAGGGACAGTGGCTTTGCAGTCGGAAAGTGTACCGTGCGGTGACAGTAGAGGAAGACGGGGATATCCATTTTATTGGAAAGATCAGGTGGAGAAGGCCACTTGCTGCGTGCAACTGATTGAGGAAGACATCTACGCCAATAAAACTGAAGAGGAAGAAATGCAAAAATTCTTGGGGAGCAATGATTCTTTTTCAAGTTCAAAAGCATAAATATAACTTTTTGAATCATGTTTTTTTTTAAGAAAAAGTTCTTTATTTCAAGAGGTTAATATTTCAATATTCATTAGCATAATATTTATACCGTAATTGGTTTTGAAGTAAGAGTTTAAAAACACCCAATATTTTAAAATCTTAATTTAGAGTTTTTGTTTTTTCAAAAATTTTAGTTTTATTTTGATTTTTATACGCCGAATCGTATCAACATGATTCTGATAATTCACTTGTTGTGCATACTCGTATGAATGTACGAATGTCTGTTCGAAAATATTTGTTAATTTGCCACACTCAAATAGATTATCAATTCGCATAAATTTGTTTAAACAAAAATTAATTGCTACAAATGACGCAAAACAATAAATTGACAACCAGTTAAATAAAGAAAATAAAATTCAACAGTAATGAATTGTTGTTAAATTGATTAAATCGCTGGAAATGTTTTGTAATAACAATTTTTTTTTGTTTTATGAAAGCGCTTTTGAGCTTAACGTCGATATGTTTTTTATAAACTTTATGCACATTGCCGGTTTGTGCAGCGAATATTGTTGTTTTAATTAGGATTTCAAGTGAAATATTAGTCATTGGCTTTGGTCATAAAACATGAAAATTCAATGAGAATGTTTGTGTTTTTAATTTCAAAAAGCTCAAATGCAAGTGAAAGTGAAATTATACACATTTGTATGTACAATATATGTGATTGGCGCTTTGTAACCGCTGAAGCGATTTACGACTGAGCCCCTGCGCCAACTTGTGGTGTGCGTCTTGATGTTTTTTCTACAAACTAGGTCCCTCAGTAGAGAGTATACTAAGCTGCGTCCGAAGGCTGATGGATGGTTTTAAAAAGGAGCTTTTTTAACTCATGTCTGAAATTCACTCAGTAGGTCTGACCTTTACTGTCGACGTGCGACTGCAATTAGAAAAATTCACTTAATTTTTGAATTAAATTAGAATTCTTTAATTACTAGATATTGGTTGGAGCAAAACTCAAACCCTGGCCTTCCGAATGTCAGTGCGTAATGTTTACCACTCAGCCAACGGGACCGCCGCATTGAGAGCATATAAATATCTATTGAAATCTAACAAATTTGCTTAAGTAAAAAATGGTCGTGAGGATTTAAATGACGACCCTAGAGCAGGACGTCCAGAAACTAGTAATCGTGCTGAACTGGTGGAAAAAATCCGTGAAATCATTGGTATCGACGAAAAATTTTACTACGAGAATGTTGGCTGAGGAATTAAATACGAGTAAAAACACTATTTGGAGAATTTCAACTGAAGATTTGGGGAANCCAAATATTTTGAAATTACTTTATTAGTCTTCCTTTCAAATTTTAGAACGATTAGCAAAAATGGAGATGAGAAAACGTAAGATAGTTGAAGATAGGTCAGAAAACATTCCACCACCAACGCAAACAGAAATTCGCCAAATGGTTCTCTTCGGGTCTCGTAGTCAATACAAATATTCAGGGAATGCCAAATTGCATATGAAACGATTGCATAGTGGTTTCCAGAATAGGCATTTTTCCATAGAAGACGAACCCCGAGAAGATCGACCAAAATCGTCCACTAGTGACGTCACTGTAACTCCGGTGAAGTCCTGATTGACACAAAAAATGTTTGCTAATAAAAATGGGCTTGATTGCCATGGCTATATCGCGAATATTAAGTAATCATCTGGGATATACGAAGAAATCTTGTCGATGGGTACCACGAATTTTAAATGAGGCCCAAAAGGATACTCGAATGAATTTTGCTCAATTTTTCCTGCACAAATTCGATAGTGGTCAATCTAGCAGCTTTAGTACAGTCGTTACTGGTGACGAATCTTGGTTCTATAAGTACGATCCAGAAACCACACAGCAGTGCATAGCAGGAGCTCAAAAGAAACAAAACTACCCGTAAAATCTAAGCAGCAAAAATATCAGTTAGAAACACAATTTTTGAAAAAAAGTCAGCATGCATATTTTCAAGAAATAAAAGTTATTTTAAAGCCATTCTGGGTCTTTCCTCAAATTCTTCTTCCTCATAGCTCGGTTGGGCAGGAGGTTTGCAAGAAGCATTTATTTTTAGTATTTTTTTTTTGTATTAAAATTATAAATAACTACGAATATATTTGACAAGCTTGAATGACACAGTAAGCTAATTAGATGTGTAAATTATATGATATATGTATGTGCATACATATGTATATGGAATGAAAGGACATTTTTTGCAAGTTCTCACGGAAAGAGAGCCGTTGTTGGAATTGGAGTTGTCTTTAAGAGCAAAATATGTCAGATGGCAATTATAAAAACTTTGTTTTCATCATTTTATCAATATTTTTTAACGAATCCTTTCTTTTTATAAAAAAGTATGAGCGAAATTTTAAGTTAATCCTCAAAAAATAAAATAAACGAAAATTCACATTGTACAGAGTTTTCCAAGAAGATGTGTTATTTTAACATTCAAAGGAAATTATAATTTTTTGAGATAAATAATCGGATGTTTATTTTAATATCAGCCAAATGGCCGCCATATGCTTTTGGTATGTTTTTTATGAAATTTTCCATTTCCAAACCGCAAAACGGCTACTGTATGCCATCGGTAACTTCATGAAAGCCATCTTTGAGGTCTTCAATCGACGTTGGCTTGTTGGCGTAGATCTTATCTTCCACGTGGTCCTAAAGACAGAAGTCGCAAGTTGTTAAATCAATAGATCTCGGCGTCTAATTGCGATCACCTCTTCGAGAGATAACACGGCCAGGCAACTTTTTCCTTGAAAGAACTATGATTTTGTTCCTTGCGTTGCATGTAGCGCCAACAATTTCTGTATTGCGGTCCGATAAGGTGATTCGCGGTGACCGGAAAATGTTTTAGTTTTACGAATACGTATTTTAATATTTTCAATCCCGGGTTGAAGCATGTTTTTACTTGTAAAACAACGGAAAATTAGAGCTTCAAAGTGACATCTACCGGAATGCCTGCCTGTTCAAAATAACACCTCTTATTGCATACCCCTTTATGACAAGCAAATATTTTGTGTTTTTCAAAGTCGTCCACCAATTGGCCTCCCATCCATCGGAGAAAAGTAGCAAAAGAATATTTGTAAAGAAAAAATAATCAGTCCATTTTAATAAAGCTTCAGCAAAGATTGCAAAAAAATAAAACTAACAAAATCACTTTCTACTCCTTACTGCACTGCCCACAACGCGATGACTATTCGTCATGATTTACACATTTTTTTTATTTTTTCTTTATTATTTACTCAAATGGAATTGCACGTCGATATGAAATGTTATGTTATTGTTGTACCAAAAACGGCTACCGGGTTCGCTAACCAACACTAGACGACTGCTAAGAGACCGCAAGAGGAAGGAGACGTGCTGCCACCAGTCGCAATGTGTTCGCGGAAATGAAAGCAATAAACGCAACACTTTAGAACAACTGAGTACATTGACATAATTTTTGTTGTTATAATTTTATTTTTGTTACATTTTGTTTTTGTTTTGTTTTGTTTTGTTTTTGTTTTGTTTTGACTTTTGCCATTGTACTTTGTGTACATACACTTACATACATATGTAAGTATGTACATACCGATGAGTATATGTATTTATGTATGTATGTATGTATGTATGTATGTATGTATGTATGTATATTTCCAAAAGCGAACTTATGAGCGCGCATTTTCACGTGGCTGCATGCGCAAAACTGGAATAACAACAGCAATAACAACAAATATAAGCAACAATTGCAGTAACACCAATAAACAATGCTAAAAGTTGGCAACAAAGGCAGACGAGTGTGGTAGGGCGAAAACATATGTATGTACATATTTGTATGTATGCATGTACATACATATGTACATTGTAGGCCATATGTGTCCGCCCACCATTCCAAAAACAATAGCAAACAACCTGTTATCAACGTGTGACACGTTCCTGCAACCTGTTCGGTTCTGCTACCAGTTACCCTCCACTCGCCTTCTCCTATTTTCTGCAATCACCTCTGTGTCTCTCCCACATTTGCCACTTCATTTCACTGCCACGTTTGCATTGCATTACATTCCAATGTAGCTGTACTTTATTGTTTATAACTTTGTTGGTATTGTTATTGTGTGTTATTGCAGTTGTTGTTGTTAAGGAATTTTTTTTTTCTATTTTTTGCTTTCCTTATACTCATTATTCCAACTTTTTGTTGTGTTAAATATGGAATATCATCTCAATACATGGCTTGGTATGGCATGGCATCGCATGGCATGCCATCACATCAAAATAATTTCTTTGATTTATATTGTCATCGTTTGCTTGTGTGTGTGTGTGTGTGTGCGACGTGTTGCCGCACTGCGACAATATTGCTGCCTTTTATGTGTTGCAAAGTACGCATAGATGTTGTGGGCCCATAAAGGAGCTTGTTCGCCCGCAATGTCTATCTGTGTATGTGCGTGCGTGTGTGTGTGTGTGTGTGTGTGTAGTAAACAATAACTAAGAATACCTCGTTCGCTGATTGTGACTAAGTAAGCAGCTCAGTTGTTTGATTGTGCGTTGAGTTGGAAATGATTGCTAGATGTGATGAGGCATTGATCCTATCCATAACGGATTTTTTAATTTATATGTATTAAAAAAACAACAACAGCAACTGCAACTAAATGTCACTCAATTTAATCATCTAAGAAATAAATAAACAAATTTATTGTTTGGAGGCTTCCGGCACGGCCTACTAAAGTTTTCTCTATCCTTCGTTTCGTCTGAAGTTACCGAAAATCCGTAGAGTATGCCTTTGGATACGTCCTAAGCTCCATTGACTTATTTAATATTTTGTAGAAAAATCTCTCATAGAATAACGTCCAGACGTTAGGCGTTGAATAAGTAGGCCGAGGAAGAACTACAGCTAATTGATAGGAAAGGAGTAATTTTATCACAATATATGAGAGTATATTGCAGTTGGCGTCCGCTGTGGCCGAGTGGTTAGCATTGGGTACTGCCATTCGGAAGGCTCGGGTTCAAGTCACCGTGCGACCAACATCCAAAAGTTATAGAAAATTAATTTAAATAAAAAATTAAGTTAAATTTTCTAATTGCGGTCGCCCCTCGGCAGGGAATGTCAACCCCTCCGAGTGTATTTCTAACATGAAATAAAGCTCCTCATGAAAAAACTATTATGCGCTGGGATGCGGCTTAGTATAAGCTGTAGGTCTATCCATTTGTTGGAAGAACATCAAGACGCAAGACCATCGTCGGAGGAGGTGCTCGGCGGAAAATCACTTCAGTTACAAAGCGCCAATTATATTATTTATATATATATATATTACAGTTCTTGCTCATATATTCCGTTATGCATATTAAATGAAATCCTATACGACACTAGACTGCTCTTTCAAGTATTCTTGCCTTACTTAAAAAGCTCCAATTCCTTCTATAGCACCAGTTTTCTATTGCTGTCTTCCAATAACGTCCTTATTTGCTCACATCTAACCTTTATCTAGTAAAGCCGGTAACAAAATAACTACATAAGGGCTCTACCAAACTAGGCCTTCTTTTATTTTGGTTGAATCAAATCTGCTACGACAGATACTAGAATTGTAGGTCTACCAGCGGTCGACTTTATTTCGCCGGTGATGAGGAATGTGACTCTTTTTAGATGTATGATGTGATGGTCTTTCTCTTTCTCTGATTCCAACGGCGTGTAGTGCATCGAAATTCGCTGCCTTTTGACTGTCTGAACTATGTAAATGTCACCGTATATATCGTAGATATCATTGTTCCACCGGCTGTATTATTTGCTCTGTCCATTGCGGATAGGACCATAAATCTTTGAACAGCCAAAAGTTGCTGTCATGGTCTATACAGAGTTTGGTCTTTGTTCATCGAGAGACGGCTCTACTTTTCAAGCGCATACTCATTCCAAAGTAGCAGCTGTGGGAAAGAGTGAATATTCTACTTTGGATCTCCAAACAGACATTGCTTTGGTGTTAATGCTAGATCGAAGGTAGGCGATAATTTCGACGACGTCAAAGTTTTGAATGTCAACAGTGATGTGGGAGCCGAGTCGCGGAAGCTTGTGTCGATCCCCGTTTCACAGTCAAAGCCAAACGCGCACTAAAATAGCTCCGGCGGCAACCAGCCTATAGAAATGTTCCCTCTGTACAGCAAAATGCCCATGCTTCCCTCTTCAGTTCTTGGTATCTATTCCATCCCGCACGTATAGTGATCGACGGAAACGTTGTTAGGTAGACAGCCTGCTTTCTTAGAGAATAAGAGCCCAAGTCGAGTAGAAAACCGTTCGGCTGTCTGTTGTGATTGTCGCTTGCGCAGAGGTGGGTGCGTATCTTCGCTACGCCAAGATAGTGGTCCAAATCGATATTGAGTCCTTGTATTATAGCTCGATTAATTTTCTTCTGCTAAAATCTAGTACTACAGCAAACCTTATTTCAGACCGAGACGAAGTTGGTCAAGCCATTTGGAGATGTTCCGTCGTGGAGGCTAAATTTTCCGAAAGATGTGCCAAATTGTGTGCAGTTTTCACATTCGTACGCTCCAGACGCTCATAAAGGGCATCTTTAGTCACATCGTCCATCTCTTCAATCGGAGCATGGACGGAAATCAAGAATATGTTGAAAAATTTCGATTTGATCCGGTTCGCGGTACGACGTTCATCTAACGAGGGTGATTGTCTCAACTCGGTGAATTCGACAAACCGTCAACAATGTTACCCTCCTTGATATGGCCGCTGAGGTAAATATTGCAAGGACCTTACTCGTCCTCGTCTTCGACCAGTGCATGGTGCTACTTAAACGGCGGTGATGTCAGCTTTAGCCCTGCGAAGGAGTCGACTAGCTGAGCATTGGCACCTTCCCAATTATATCCTAGTTGCATGCCTTTAAATCATTGTACTCAATACGTTTGCAGCAAACGTCATCAGAGGCGTTGCAATTTCTGTTGTATGAGTTGGTTTCTAGGTGTTGGATCCCAAACCCAGGGCATAACCTTGCTAGGAAAGTAACTTCAACCTTGTTACACATTTATTTAGCGGGCTGTTTGCATTCAGACTGACTTCCGCTACGCCTCTGGTGGACAGAAACTGTATTTAGACTTACTAGCCAGCCTCTAAACATCTTGCAATTAGGTTGCTCACGCAAGGTCATTTTAATTGCATCCCATAAGCTTGACTGCAATCCATTACAAGGTAAAGGCGCATCTTCCTTAAACGCATAACCGTAGCAGGCATAACCAAGATGGAATTTCAAAACCCGTACGAGATATTTAAAATTTTCCGGTGTTAATGAGATCTCACACAATCTGAATCCGATCAGGACCTCACGAAGCAAAACTAATTATAATCTATGAATTGGAAATTTTAAATTTCATCGTCGGAGTAATTAACAAAATGTGTGAGTTACGAAACCAGAGTTGAGTTGAGAGAATTGAAGGTTCCTAAAGGTTCATAGTATCGCAAAAGATTACCCACCCATGGCTCACAGTATACAGTATAAATGTCATAACTTCTACCAATACTCGAACAAATCTCGTCATTACAGCAGCCGGCAGCATATATTGTACATACGAATACAAATATTTCCTTATTACAACAGCTTTCATTTTGAACTCATTGAGTACACTCCTGAAAGCTGTTCAAATATTTATGTTGGTAAAAAACCCCGTCCAGAAATATTTACAATAATTTTATGAATAATTTAAACAATTAATCATTAATGGAAAATTCTGTATAATTTCTGTAAATTTCATAAACAATTGTGCATACATACATACATACGTTATATAAGCACGTGTTGGGGTATGCAAGTTCAATGGCTGCATTCATTGCTTTTTGCCGTTAACTTTCAATAACCTCGAGTCAATTACATAATTTATGAAGATATGAGTTAATTTTTTTTGTTTTATTCTGAAAGTAATAGTACTTTTTTTGGGAAAATTAAAACTTAAATGTTTGCTTAAAGGTAAAGGACTTATTATCCCACAAGGTGCTGGAAGGCATAGCAACCTCCAGGTAGAGGTACAAGTCTTCAGATGCTGGAAGATAAGGATGAATTCTTAATTACAGTAAAACACTTGTAAAAATCTTTATTTGGCAAGTAGCGAGCCAGTTTAGACCACTAAGGGTCTTAGTTGTAAAAGAACATTGGAATACGGCTATTTGGTCTAGTGGTGTAGGTCTTGTGCATACAACGATTTAAGACTAATAAAGGGCTCTCCAATCAGAGGTGTTCTCTCGAATAGCCTGCTGCTCCGTTGGATGTTACTTTTGAAGCTCTTTTTCGATATTTGAAAAGTAAAATCCATAATACAAGTATGGAATCTTGTGAAATTTGTAGAAATCTGTCGATTCGCGTTTACCTGCCGATCTCGCGGTTTGCCTGTCAAATATAAAATCATAATGGCTGCGGCCAAGTTAACAGGCAAACTGAATGATGCGAACATCATTGGAATGAAGGATTTGCAGAATAAATACGCAGACAATAATAGAAACAACAATAATTAAATGTCGTACCAAAAGGGAGAGTGAAGAATCTGACAGCGAATCATGATGGAACAAGTAAAGTTCAAATACGAAATTTCGAGGAAAAGTAAATAATGAAAATGATTTAGAAATCAGGTGATCTCAGTAGTTTTCCAGTGTTAACAAACAAAATGGCGCTTTCCTTACTTGTAAACCTCATCGATGTTAAAAACTACGCCAGTATTAAAACTGGAACGATACACACTTCAACACAGCACTGAAACTATTAAAATTCACTATAAAAATGGTGAAAACCTGTCAGACGGTTCGTAAAAAAAAATTTTTTTTCGATGGTCATGAAGCACCTTGTAGGACTGCAATACAGAAATTGGTGGAACAAAAGGAGCTGTTGGTATTGGTTAGTGGTATAAAGAATAAAACAAGTGCCCAAAATGTTAAAGAAAACCCGGGTCTGTTCATTCCTAATCGTTTTTTTGTTCATTCCACAAACGCCATTACACCGAAGACTTGAGTCTTAAGGGTTGTAAAGCTTAGTTAATATAAGAACCCAAGCTCATCGATCATCAACATCGTCGCGTTTTTCCTAATCGGGTCCTTGAAATGCATGAAAATTATACGGAATTTTGTCCACAAATCATATTGACTAATGAGTCCCATTTCTACCTCGACGGTAACTGGAGCTCGGATAACTTAAAATTCCTTGTTGAAAAGCCTCTTTACTTTTTCACAAATGAGTCTGAATCGACAGTTACGATGAATGAATTGCGCTATCGAGAGATGATTAGGAGTTTTCACTTTCCACAAGACGGCACTACGTACCACACAAGCAACGAAACCATAGATCTTTAAAGGAAAATTTTCCGGACCATATTATCTATCGAAGAGGTGANAGTGTAAGTACAAATAAACATATTTGTTAGATCATGAAATTAAGGTGTTGGGGGCCCGCATTTGAATTATCCCCGGGCCCCGATTTTCTCTCGGCGGCCCTGTCTACCTTCAATCAATGAACATACCATAACGGTGTAGGATTTTACCTGATGAGTTCACCATTGCCCTGATAATCATAATAAAACAATCCTGAAAAAGTTGCTTTAGAAAAGGATTGAGACACTCAAAGTCTCTCCGTCGATTTGAAAGCTGCCTTCGAAAGCACGAAAGAAGCTGATTGCTTGCC